AGATGAACTGTTAAGGTAGAAGAGGAGACCGGTCTCCTCGGATTTTATTCCTCATTCCCAGACTTTCTCTAGTTCGTGCAAAGTTACCCTATGGGACAACCGAGTGGCTTGGAAATCGTTTTTTAATTTAAATTGCGTCTCCTGCTCACGGCGACAGGGAGCGACCATTATGCCTTGTCATGCCTTTTTTCGAACCCCCGAAGACAGACTGAAACCCATTCATTCCACTTTGAACCGAGTAAGAAAGTTTGTACGAAAAAGAAACGTCACAAAACAGAAGTCATTAAGACCGATCCCATTTGATCATCTCTTTTCCCTTCCTTACATAGCCTTGGCGGCCTGAGGGGGAGCCAGCTTCTTGCCGTCCTTGTTGTACCTGATACGCGGGGGAGGAGCACGGTTACGACGACCTTCCCGGGAGCGGACACTGTGGTGGAGAATTGTTAGTATGGCCTGCTTCTTTCCTTCATGCTGCAAAACCAAGCAGAATCCAAGCTGTCTTCATAAATGGGATGGTGCGTACCGAACGATCTTGCCGTGGATAGCGCAGGAGACGCAGTACTGCAGCTTCAGGTACATCTTAGGGACGGCATAGTCGGTGAAAACGGAGGCGTCAGAGATATCACCTGTTCAAGATCTCGGGTTAGCGGCGTTGTCCATCAGCTTTCATATTCCACCACGTTTAGCTCATGCATCCAGTTGCGGCAGCTCCGTCCAAGAGATTCCATCCGTCCAATCCAGTTCCGACTCATCTCAACGGMGCACAACGGACGTGGCTTCAACAGTATGGGTTTGACAAGGGCTCGAACGTACGGATGGCAGCGGACTCGACCATGTTGCGGATGGTGAATCTCTTGATCGCCTTGTCCTTAGGAGTGCAACGAGCGCAGTTGGAGCAGCGCACGGGCTTGACGTGGCCGCGGCCGTTCTTGTTGCGACCGCTGTAGAGAAAGAACAATAAATGTCAGTATGGATCGATTCACTCATGAATTTCAAGTCCAAAATTTCCCCTCCTCTTTCAATCCAATCATAAAAACAACCGCATACACAGCCGACATCCTCAACAGGCGGGAAATCAGGGCGCTTCTTTCGGCGGTGGTGGATCTTCAAATTTGACAACCGGGTTGAACACAGGAAAAGGGAAATTCGCTCTTACTTGTTCGCCCTCTTCTTGACCATTTTGACGGATTTCTCTGCAAGGTACGGTCAGAGATTTGGAGTTGTAGAGGGAGGGAGGCGGCGTACTTGGCTGTCGGGTTTGGTTGTCGTAAGGCACTGGACGCTCTCAATCGCTAGTCGTGAATGAGGTTGTGCCGGTTTGTGTGGAAGCCCTATGCCCTTAAGCGAGCCTCGGTCACGGGATACTGCCGGTGCCTCAGGTACTAAGGCATTCGGTATTGGTGGCCTGACATCCTAAGACCAATTAGATCATCACGTGCAGATCCAGACTTGTCGAGGGGAGAGCCTGAAATAGACTAGTGGCCGGGTTGTCCCAGCGTTACGGGTCTTACGGTACTCAAGTACGATCCGCGGATGTACCTAACCATTCCTGACGGGGAACTCGTACCACTCTGTGGTGTCAACATGGCGGCTCCCGTGAATGGGGCGTATTGTTATTACCCATTGTTTATCCTGCCCAACTCAGGCTGTTATTATTAACTCACTAACAGCCAATAGTTGGCCCTCGAACTCCCTTTAAGACAACCCCTGTTCATCCGTATCTTTCTCGTTGTACTTGGGTCGTGCTGGTGGTCTGCTGCTCATCCTCAGTGGTACGTTGTATCCCTCTTCTCGTTTGGATCAGACATTGATTCGAGTAACTCGTGCTCAGATTCGTGATACCTATACATCGACTAGATCTGACAACATTCTCGTTTCTCCCTCGTCATTCATTTCTACCTAGCTCTCTCGGTCTGTGATACCCCCTCACCGAAAATCCGTCCATACCGATCGGTGCCATGTCGGCTGCAGGAGGAACCTATCGGGGCACAACAAGCCAGAAGACCATCGGAAGAGGGAGACTGCCGGACTTTGAGAACAGTCCTACATCCCACATTCCGCGACCTCGACCAGAAACTGCAGCGTCAACGCACACACCCTCCAGCGACGTTGGAAGTTCCACCATGAGTGCTGCAAGCAGGCAAAGACAGAACCAATCGAAGAGAGATGAGGTCAGTATGTCCTGGTGGCCTGTCCTTGGCCTCAAATTTCCGGTTGCATGGCCTTGTATTCCCTCCTAGCCCCTTGTTTATTATGGTTTCCCACAGAATCTTAGCGAACAGCGATTGCTGCCATAGGAATGAATTCTAACGCGCTGTTGTGAAGGCTATTCGACGCAAGATGGAGGCGGACCTCAATAAAAAGAGGCACCAGGCTCCAAGAGCGCATCGCACGCGCAAAGCTCCCCCAGGAACCGTGCTGGCTTTAAAGCCTAGTCAGGCCCTTCAGATTAAACCCAACACAACCGTCGCGGAAGCCGCACAACTGATGGCCGCGAAGAGAGAAGACTGTGTTCTTGTCACAGACGATGATGATCGCATCGCTGGTATTTTCACCGCGAAAGATCTTGCTTTCCGTGTGGTCGGAACCGGTCAAAAGGCTCGCGAAATTACTGTTGCCGAGATCATGACGAAGAACCCCCTGTGTGCGAGAACAGACACTAGCGCGACGGACGCACTGGATCTCATGGTGAGAAAGGGGTTTAGACATCTGCCAGTCATGGATGAGAACCAGGACATCTCCGGTATCCTCGACATTACAAAGTGCTTCTACGACGCGATGGAAAAGCTGGAGCGTGCGTATAGCTCTTCCCGAAAGCTCTACGACGCCTTGGAAGGTGTGCAGACAGAACTAGGCTCCACCCAGCCTCAGCAAATCATCCAATACGTGGAAGCACTGCGCTCAAAAATGTCCGGCCCGACCCTCGAGAGTGTCCTGGACGGCATGCCTCCGACTACAGTATCTGTCCGCACTTCTGTCAGGGATGCCGCGGCTCTGATGAAGGAACATCACACAACTGCTCTACTCGTGCAGGACCAGGGCTCCATCACCGGTATCTTCACCAGCAAGGATATCGTTTTGCGTGTAATTGCCCCAGGACTGGACCCAGCCACTTGTAGTGTCGTCCGTGTGATGACTCCACATCCCGATTTCGCTCCTGCTGATATGAGCATCCAAGCCGCTCTGCGCAAGATGCACGGTTAGTGGTCTCGCTTCCTCTGGTCTGCAACAGAACGGCTAACCCACCCTACTCCAGATGGTCACTACCTGAATTTGCCTGTTATGAACGAGACGGGCGAGATTGTCGGCATGGTGGATGTGCTCAAGCTCACTTATGCCACTCTTGAGCAGGTTAGTCAGGGCCTTTCCGAGAATCGTCACTTTCAACTAACCAGAGATGCAAGATCAACTCCATGCAATCGCAGGACGACGAGGGCCCCGCATGGAACAAATTCTGGTTGTCAATGGATCATGAATCCGATTCAATGGTGTCCGGCAGCCAGCAAGCGCCGAATCGTTCCGTTCTCAGTCCCGAGTCACCTAGGCCGGGTGTTGACAGTGTGCTCCCTAACGAATCCGCGTCCCACCACGGCGGAGATGAGCTCTCGGAATATCACGACCATCACCATAACCACGACGAGAGCGTTCCGTTCCCCTTCAAATTCAAGGCCCCTAGCGGCCGCGTGCACAGGGTCAATGTTGTCACTTCTGCTGGGGTCGCCGACTTGGTCGCCCAAGTCACAGCCAAGTTAGGCAACGAGCTGGAGGCAGTCGGAGGTGCTGCCACCGTCGAGGAGGGCAAACTCAGCAATACGGGTTACGCCTTGAGCTACTTGGACAATGAGGGTGACACTGTTTCTATCACCACCGATCAGGATCTGGCGGATGCCGTCAGTCTCGCCCGTCGCTCGCACCGTGATAAGGTCGATCTTTTTGTCCACGACCCCGCTCAGCCCCCAATTCCGGCAACGTTGGATCCCCAGCCTGCTCCAACCAAAGCTGTCGAGGAGAAGAGTTCCGTTGTTGCTGAGGACCGGCTCTCCGAGGAGCCACTTATCCCCAAGGCCCATCAGTCGTACCCAACACGTCCCACCGAGGAGCAGTTCATCGCCGGCGTACCCAATGAGCTTCTACTTCCAGGTGCCATCGTAACTCTGGCAGCAGTTATTGCTGGAGTATTCATTCTAAGCCGCGCCACAAGTCGATAGACGATGACACTGCTTTAAAATTGTGGTTGATTCGTAATGAACGGCAGGCACATCATGTATATCTGTCGATCTAACTCTGTCTTTGCTGTGCCATACTTGCATATCCCAAGTGCGACCTCTTCCCTCCTTCAATTTCCCATTTTCCATTACCATCTTCATTTAATCTAAGTGCGACTGTTCGGATACCGCTAGTGTTTTTAGTGAGGGCATATTAGCAATGCATATAATTTTCCCTAGAAGCACGAAAATTTGTCTCATGAATAATTATTTCTGTTCTTGAACTTCCGCAAGGGCGTTCTAGTAGGCACCACATGGCGGTGTCAAACGGTGCATTGATGTCTTGGATGCCTGGATGCCTGAGATTTCCTGATTGGGCCTAGCGCGGTACTCCCATCGATGGCTGGAATTATTTTTTGATTTCTTGAGGCTTCAACTGGTCCATCCCACATCGCTCACGACGCCCTGAATTGTCCCCTCCTGTTCGCCAGCAGGTCCCTTGTCGAGCTGGAATGCTGAGCTTGCACTCGTGCTGTGCATATTTCTGGGTTTGATTATCGTTCTTATCTTGTCTGATCATTAGTCTTCCCCAAGCAGACACCATTCAACGGAGTTGTACCTACCGCTACTGTCCAACCCCCGCCAAAGAAAAAAATAATAACAACCAGAAAAGGGAATACAGTCCCTGTCCACCAGCCCAGCTTCAGCGCTGGATACACACACTCATCACCGTTCCTAAACGGGATACAGTCAATCTACAGCTGAATTATCGTTTTTGCGTGACGAGCGATCAACATGTCGCTGCTCCCACCCGAGGTTCACTCCGCGCTGTCCCAGCTGCTGCGCGCGTTGACCACTCCCGACAACACGGTCCGTACTCAGGCGGAAGAACAGTTGAATAATGACTGGATCCAGAACCGTCCGGATGTTCTTCTTATGGGCCTGGCCGAGCAGATTCAGGGTGCAGAGGATACAGTAGTAAGTGATACAAGTTTCGTCAGGGGACGTGGGGACCGTGTCTGGTGTAGACAGAGGGACCGACTGGAAGCCTTCTGCCCACTATGGACTTGAATCCTATGGCCGCGCCTTGCTGAATTCGACTGATTTTGGTTAATCGTCACCCGCAGACGCGTACATTCGCTGCCGTACTTTTCAGAAGAATCGCGACGAAGACAAGGAAAGACCCAGTCACGAATGAGGCCAAGGAACTCTTCTCAACACTCTCCGGGGAACAGAGACTGGTCATCCGACAGAAGCTGGTGACATGTTTGACGACCGAATCCGGGACTGATGTCCGGAAAAAGATTGGCGATGCAGTCGCGGAGGTTGCTAGACAATACACCGATAACGGTATGCGCAAATTTCATGGGTGATGAAAGGATTCAATAGCTGATAATGGTCTTCTCTAGGCGATCAATGGCCCGAGCTTCTCGGCGTGCTTTTCCAAGCCAGCCAGTCACCCGAGGCAGGTTTACGGGAGGCTGCCTTCCGCATTTTCTCGACCACTCCCAGTATAATTGAGAAGAACCACGAGGATGCCGTTTCAGGCGTGTTCGGCAAGGGTTTCAAGGATGATGTTGTCACTGTATGTTGGGACCCTTCAACATAGCGTTCGCGGGAGTCCCGGTTGACCATTGCGCTTGTAGGTTCGCATCGCTGCTATGGAGGCCTTCGCCTCATTCTTCCGGTCTATCTCCAAGAAGTCTCAGCCCAAGTTTTTCGGACTCGTGCCCGACATGCTCAACATTTTGCCGCCTCTGAAGGAGTCCTCCGAGAGCGAGGAGCTATCTTCCTCCTTCTTGGCTCTCATTGAGCTTGCGGAGGTTTGCCCAAAGATGTTCAAGACTATGTTCAACAACCTGGTCAAGTTCAGTATTAGTGTCATTGCCGACAAGGACCTCAGCGACCAGGTTCGCCAGAATGCCTTGGAGTTGATGGCTACCTTTGCCGATTACGCCCCCTCGATGTGCAAGAAGGATCCCGAGTTTGCTCAGGAAATGGTCACCCAATGTTTGAGCTTGATGACTGATATTGGAGTCGACGACGACGATGCTTCGGAATGGAATGCGTCCGAGGACCTGGATTTGGAGGAGAGCGACCTCAACCATGTCGCTGGCGAACAATGCATGGACCGTTTGGCCAACAAGCTCGGTGGCCAGGTTATCCTTCCGGCGACCTTTGCTTGGATCCCCCGCATGATGTCGTCCTCTGCTTGGCGTGATCGCCACGCGGCGCTGATGGCCATCTCCGCCATTTCCGAGGGTTGCCGTGACCTGATGGTCGGTGAACTCGATCAAGTGCTGGCCCTGGTTGTCCCTGCTCTCCAAGACCCTCACCCGCGTGTGCGTTACGCCGGCTGCAACGCCCTCGGCCAGATGAGCACCGACTTCGCCGGAACGATGCAGGAGAAGTACCACAACGTCGTGTTGAACAACATCATCCCCGTTTTGGATAGTGCTGAGCCACGCGTTCAGGCCCACGCGGCCGCTGCTCTGGTCAATTTCTGCGAAGAAGCGGAGAAGAAGGTACTCGAGCCGTACCTTGCTGATCTCCTGAGACACCTTCTGCAGCTTCTGCGCAGCGAGAAACGTTATGTGCAGGAACAAGCACTGTCCACTATTGCCACGATTGCCGACTCGGCGGAGAACGCCTTTGATCAATTCTACGAGACTTTGATGCCATTGCTCTTTAACGTCCTGAAGGAAGAGCAATCCAAGGAGTACCGTCTGCTGCGTGCCAAGGCTATGGAGTGCGCAACTCTGATTGCCCTGGCCGTGGGCAAGGAGAAGATGGGACAGGATGCGTTGAATCTCGTGCAGCTGCTCGGCAACATCCAACAAAACATTGTCGATGCGGACGACCCGCAGTCGCAATACTTGCTCCACTGCTGGGGCCGTATGTGCCGCGTTCTTGGTCAGGACTTTGTCCCTTACCTGCCAGCTGTCATGCCTCCTCTTCTGACGGTTGCGGCTGCCAAGGCCGACATTCAGCTGTTGGATGATGAGGACCAGATTGACCAAGTTGAACAGGACGAGGGCTGGGAGTTGGTTCCCCTGAAGGGCAAGATCATTGGTATCAAAACCAGCGCATTGGAAGACAAGAACACCGCCATCGAGCTGATTACCATCTACGCTCAGATCCTGGAGGCTGCTTTTGAACCCTTCGTGCTGGAGACGATGGAGAAGATTGCCGTGCCTGGACTCGCCTTCTTCTTCCACGATCCTGTGCGGGTTTCCTCCGCCAAGCTCATCCCCCAGCTCTTGAACTCATACAAGAAGGCGCACGGTGTGCAGTCTCCCGGATTCGCTGCGATGTGGAACAGGGTAGGTGAGAAGATCATTGAGGTTCTGAGCGCCGAGCCCACTGTGGACACCCTGGCGGAGATGTACCAGTGCTTCTACGAATCCGTCGAAGTGGTTGGCAAGAACTGCCTGAGCCAGCAGCACATGGAAGCGTTCATCGAATCTGCCAAGTCCACGCTGGAGGATTACCAGGTCCGTGTGAAGGCTCGTCTTGAGGAGCGCGCCGATACGGAGGAGGGTGACGAAGAGGACCTCGACTACGAGTACGCAGTTGAGGATGATCAGAACCTGCTGAGCGACATGAACAAGGCATTCCACACCATCTTCAAGAACCAGGGCACGACCTTCCTGCCTTCATGGCAACGCTTGCTGCCATTCTACGACGCGTTCATCACCAGCCAGGACCCTACCCAAAGGCAATGGGCTCTCTGCATCATGGATGACGTGCTCGAATTCTGCGGCGCCGAGTCGTGGAATTACAAGGACCATATCATGCAGCCCTTGGCCGCGGGTCTGCGCGACGAGAATGCCGCCAACCGGCAGGCGGCGGCTTACGGAGTCGGCGTTGCCGCTCAGAAGGGTGGCCCTGCCTGGAGCGACTTCGTCGCAGCCAGCATCCCCAGCTTGTTCCAGGTGACGCAAATCAACCAGGCTCGTACCGAGGAGCATGTGTTTGCGACCGAGAACGCCTCGGCCAGTATCGCCAAGATCCTGCACTATAACCCCAGCAAGGTGCAGAATGCGCAGGAGATCGTGGCGAACTGGATCAACACACTTCCTATCACTTATGATGAGGAGGCTGCGCCATACGCTTATTCCTTCCTTGCCCAATTGATTGACCAGTACGTTTGTTCCTCATTCGGTGATGTGATCTCTGATTGACTGACCATTGAACAGACAAAACCCGGTGGTGATTTCGAATGCCGACAAGGTGTTTGGATACATCGTGCAGGCTCTGGAAGCCGAGACGCTACAGGGCCAGACGGCAGGACGCGTGGCCAACTCGGCGAAGCAACTGGTGGCCGCTACAGGGCTGAATGCAGAACAGATCCTGGCAGGAGTGAGCCCTGACAACCAGGCAGCGGTGCGAAGCTACTTCCAGTGAGCCTTTATAATATATCTTTTTGTTTTTCCTTTTTCTCTCTCGGTATGAATCTGATATGCACGCAAGTATATGAATACAACTGGCAGTTATGATTTGTCGTTTGTTATTTCCTTTATTCCTGTGATGAGTCTCTATACAGCGTTGTGCGAGAGTCCTGATCCCTCGAGGGATTATCTATCTCGTGAGTTACAAACCATGACTTTGGATTGAAATAGACAGTATGTTTGTCCTGTGGTAAATCATAGTCGGTAATGTGTCATAAAATCATCAACGTACGGCTTTATAATAGCCACAAATCACTCCACGACCATCTCCAAGATCTCCAGCACTTGTCCCTTCTCAGTCAACGGCACGGGATTAGTCTTGCACCAGCGATCATGCAGACTGTTGGCCGCCAGCTCGTCCAGCGCATCCCGGCCCACCCCGACCTCCTTCAACGAGCGCGGCATCCCCAGCTCCCGAATGATCGCATCCAAGACATCCCCCAGATCCGCCGACGAGCCATCGACGCCCCGATCGCGCAGCACGCGCGCCACCTCGGCGTTCTGCACAAGAAACTGCCGCACCCGCTCCTGCTGTTCACGATTGGCGCCGTGCCTTGCGTTGAACTTGCACACAGCCGGCAGCAGGATACAGCTCGTCTCGCCGTGCCCGACCCCCAGCGGGCCCAGCTGATGGCCGATCCCGTGGCTGGCGCCCAGCTCGACCGACCCGCCCGTCAACGCCGCCATGGCGTTCACAGCGCCAAGCTGGCACTGCAGGCGCGCGTCGCGGTCGGCACGGTCACGCCTGCACCGCAGCAGACCCGGGACGAGCAGCTCCAGCGCGTGCGTGGCGTGCGCGTCTGTCGATTCGGTGGTGCCGGTCGTGGCGCACAGCGTCTCGACGCAGTGGTCTACGGCGCGGATGCCCGTGCTCAGCCAGATGGCGGGCGGGGTGGTGGTTGCGAGGTCCGGGTCGAGGATGACGAGCTGGGGCCCGCGCGTCGGCGCCTGGAAGGCGTGCTTGCGGCGGGTGGTGTCGTCCGTTGCGCCGGCGAAGTTGGAGTACTCACCTGCGGAGAGGGAGGTGGGGATGGAGATGATGGGGATGGTGGGTGGACGGATGTCGGCGCGTTGGTCTGGACCCGCGGCTAGAGTGGCCAGGTCGGAGGCCGTCTGGACGTTGTTTGCAAGAGCCTGCGCTCGTTAACTACTTTACTTCATACTGATTGTGCCGGGGGGGAATACCAATGCGACCACCTTGGCTCCGTCGGTTAGGCTGCCTGCGCCCAACGTCAAGAGCAGATCGGCCTCAGCGCGGCGCGCATCGTGCACGATTTCCAGGACTTCAGACCATAGGGTATGGCTCTGCATGCCGATCCGGCGGCCTACGACCTTTTCCGGTCCTAGCGCCGCTGTCAGACGGTCCAAAGCATCTGTGTTGCGGGCCAGCGAGCCCGAGCAGATGATGTAGATTTTTGAGGCCCCAAAAGTGCCGACGACATGGTGGGCGGCGGCGGCGGGGAAGGGGATTCCGTATGAGAGCAGAGGACGCGGCCGGTCGGCAAAGGCCGGACGGACTGTTTCTGGCATTTCGATTATGGACGGCGTTCTGGAGGGGAAAAACTCTGTATAATCAGGGCTGAAGTATGTATAATCAGTGATGAACAGAAATTTAATACAGTTGCAGGCTGAATTCAGGTCAGACGTGGGGCTGGGGAGATTCCTTGATTTCTAAGCTCAAGCAAATAATGTCGACTGTAAGATTGCATCATGCATCATGGTGCAGAATTGAATTCAAACTGTTTGATTGGATATCTTATAACAGACAGAATGTACATACACGCGAACGCCTCCAATACCCAGAGATGTATACAACTTCTTTTTGGTCCAATTATCACCGGTATATAAATCACTGGTGGGCCCGCTTGGCCAACAAGTTCAAGGCACTTCCCGCCAGGATGAAGCCACACTGGTCCTTGCTCAGAGTGTGATTGACTGGAATCGTCAGCTTCTCGCCATTCTTCTTGGTAACCTGCAGCTGGATTGATCCCTGACCGCCGGACTGCAGTGTCTCGTACAGTCCGACAGTGTTGACCTGGTCGCATGCGTCGATGCGGTCGTAGTCGGCCTTGTCGGCGAACGTCAGGGGGACCACACCCTGCTTCTTCAGGTTGGTCTCGTGGATGCGAGCGAAGCTTTTGGCCACGATGATCCGGCCGCCCAGGTACCGCGGCTGCAGCGCCGCGTGTTCACGCGCGCTACCCTCGCCATAGTTGTCCTCAGCCACGACCAGCCATTCAATGCCGTCGGCCTTCCACCGAGCTGCGAGGTCGGGAATCGAGTGCTTGTTGCCAGCGTCGTCGTACGCAACGTTCGTCTCACCCGTGGCAGCGTTGACCGCCCCGATCAGAGTGTTGGCGGAGATGTTGGGCAGGTGACCCTTGTACTTCAACCACGGACCGGCCGCGGAGATGGTGTCGGTTGTGCACTGACCCTTGACCTTGTACAGGACCTTCAAGCCGGACAGTTCGCCTGCAGGAAAGGGTGCGAATGGCTCCAGCAGAGCGAGACGTTCAGAGGTGGGGGAGACAATGACCTCCACGGAACCGTCAGGGACACCAGCGCTGGGCTGGAAGGCAGGGTTGCCGTCAGCGAACCCAGCACTAGGGAGATCAGAGCCTTGGGGAGGACGGAACTTGAAGTCTTCACCGCTCGGGGTCTTCAGAGTGTCTGTCATGGGGTTGAAGGTGGTGCTGCCCGAGTAGGAAAGGGCGGTTACAATCTCCGGCGACGCCAAGAAGTTCATAGTGCGTCGGTTGCCATCGTTGCGTCCGGGGAAGTTACGGTTGTAGGAGGTGAAGATTGCATTGTCCTCACCCTTGGCGACACCATCAGTTCGCTTCCACTGCCCGATGCAGGGTCCGCAGGCGTTGGCCAGAACGGTACCGCCGGCCTCGGAGAAAGAAGACAGGGTCTGGTCACGGTCCAGAGTGGCCCGAATCTGCTCACTGCCGGGCGTGATGAAGAAGTCCGCCTTGGGCTTCAGGCCAGCCGCCGACGCCTGCTTGACCAGGTCCTCGGCGCGAGTCATATCCTCGTAGGAACTGTTGGTGCAACTACCGATCAATCCAGCACCAAGAGTCTCGGGCCACTTGTTCTCGCGGACGGTGTTGGCGAAATCCGACAGACGCACAGACAAATCCGGGGTGAACGGTCCATTGACGTGAGGCTCCAGCGTCGACAAGTCAATAGTGATCACCTGGTCGTACTCTGCACCATCATCGGCCCGCAAAAGGTTCTTAGGGCCCGATGCAGCAATCTCGGCCGCCGCCTCGGCCACATGGCCTCGGTGCGTGGCCTGCAGGTAAGGAACCATGCTAGGGGAGAAGGGGAAGACCGAGGTGGTGGCTCCGACCTCCGCACCCATGTTGCAACAGGTAGCCATACCGGTGCAGCTGAGCGTCTCGACACCGGGTCCATGATACTCGATCACATAGCCGGTACCACCGCGGACGGTGAGCTTACCAGCCAGGTGCAGAATGATATCCTTGGGAGAGGCCCAGCCGCTCAGCTTACCCTCAAGACGCACACCAAGAATGCGAGGCGCCTTCAATTCCCAGGGAGCATCCACCAATGCATCCACTGCATCTGCACCACCGACACCGATAGCGATAGCTCCCAAACCTCCCGCGTTAGGCGTGTGGCTGTCGGTACCCAGCATCATCAGGCCAGGAGCGGCGTAGTTCTCTAGCACACTCTGGTGGATGATACCCGCACCGGGGGGCCAAAACTCAATACCGTAGCGCTTGGCGGCGCTCTCAAGGAAGTCGAACACTTCCCGGTTACCCTGGATAGAGGCAGGCAGATCGGTGTCCGCGCCACGCTCACCCACGATCATATGGTCACAGTGAATACTGGCGGGCACCGCGGTCGACGGCAGGCCACAGGACATGAACTGCAACAACGCCATCTGGGCCGACGCATCCTGCATCGCCACTCGGTCGGGCTTCAACTTCAGGTTGGCCTTGCCCCGAATGTCTTTTCCATTGTTAGTGCCTGTCAATAGGGACTCTTCCGCATTGTCCAGATGGGCGTAGAGGATCTTCTCCGCCAGGGTGAGGGCCCGCGAGGATCCCAACACCTTCCGAACCTGCTCGAGATTGCGCACAATCTTAGGGTAAGGCGGCATGCGTGAGGCGGAGGCCTCAGTGGCTAGGCCACGTCGTGCGAACAATTGTTGCGGGGGAAGGCATTTCGGGGCCAGCTATGGGGCAGTGGAGTTAGTCATAGTAGAGAAAAGCACTTTTCTCTGGCGTAGTCATTGCATCCAGAAGCCATTGACAAAGCACGAGGAAAACTTACCCTGCGAGAGGCGGTAGCCCGCTGCCAGACAAGCTGCCTCACCATCTTGACGCCCTGTGGAAGAGTGGATTGCGGAGAAAGAAGACGACGCTCGGTAGATGGCAACATTTAATGCCCTTTTTTCTGCTGCTTTTCGGCTTACTTATTTGGCTGCAATCTGATTGGTCAGGACTGCGCCGATGCCGGGGCTGGCGTAGATCTTACAATACGTTACGGTAGGACAGCGACCTAAATCAAGGATAAGGTATTATCCAGATAATTACGCAGCTAGTGTTTATAATTACCTGGGAAAGTTTTAAGTAGGCACGAAGTAGTTATTAGGTATTGGAAGAAAAGATCATAGATAGAACTCTTGTCATCTACCTTAATCAAGGTTGCACAATGGCGAAAGATCATCTCTGTTAAAAGAGTCATATCATCCCAAAAGCGCCCAGACAAACGCCTGAACTAAAATATGAGGAGAAAAATTGAAAACATCGACGAGAGAACCTCCAAATCTCAACACTTGGTACAAGAATGAAGGGTACAACATACAAGGAATATAAGCAGCAAAGAATTAAGCGCTGGTCCTCTCTTCCTCCTCAGGTACAGCCGCCCGCAGCTCCCATACGATATCATAGCATTCGGCCAGCAGCGCATTGACGCTGCCCTGTCCTTCGGGAATGTCGTTTCCCACGTAGAATTTGCCGTCAACTCGCATGTTGTCAATGGAGTTGAGCTGTACGATGTCAACTTCTGTCTCTTGCTGGGAAGCTGGGGGTCACTTACCTTCATACTGTAAGGGTACAATTCTCGAGAATTTGAGACACCTCCGGACTCTTTGACTTCCAGGAGACATCGTCGCAAGGTCTGCAACTGATTGTAGACTGGCAGCAAGGCCTCAGATACGGGTTCCGAAGAGATCAAAAGTGCGTAGATATAGGCGTAGCTCCTCCGAATGAGGTATAGTAATGTCTGCCAACAATCAGTAACAAGCCCCATCCAGACTTTCCGGGTGCTTAATCCTTACACGCTGCGCATGGATATCTGCCGGATGCCCTTCAGCATCCACGAAATTTCCATCGACCCGAGCTTCATCAATACGGTCGAGTTTCCGCTGATATCCGAAAAGGTCGGTTTCCCGAAGAGACCAGGCCTGGGTTACGGAGAGTCGATCCAGCTGATTACGAATCTCAAGCAGTCGTTCGTATTGGTCGCGGAAGCGCTCGTCAATCTTCCCCTCTCTGTCAATCAAAGAGTCAGTCACTCGGTCACTACCCGCCATGGCAAGAGCCTAGGCAGAGAAATGGGCGGGCTGACCGTTCCAGTACAATCTCGGTCCAACGCCAGCACCGGTCCAGTAGTTGTTTGACCCCCTCTTGCCCTTCTAGGGGCTTACCATCTGCTCCAACGAAGTTACCGTCCTTCATTGTGTCTTGGATCTTCGTCAACTGCTTCCGAAGATTGATCACTTCCGTTGCGGAGAACTAGAAACCACGCACCATTAGCTTGTTCACTCACTCCCTCAAAAAGACACGCCAAATTTCAGGGACTACCTTTGATCGAGTATTGGCTGCCGCTGTCGACCGCAAGACTGAAACAAGTGTCTCATGGGTGGGTGCTAGCTCAGGGTTCATGGCTTCAAGCCCGCTCCGCAACTTATCTAACTTCAATTGACACTGTTCAAGTCGACTTTCCAAGAGCGTCATCAGAGCTGGGGAATATGCGTCTCGACCACGCTCGACTGTCTCCTTCATGTTGGTCAGGGTCTTGGTGATCGAGCTGAGATCTTTCGAGCTATAAAAGCCAGCCTCTTCAAGGTGATCAAGCAGGCGCTAGTCGAACGGGTCAGGAACAGAATAATATGGCGGAGACAGCTGAAAAGGGACCGCTATACCTTGATTGTTGTTGCAAGCGAGTATCTATCGTCAGGTAATGTTAGTTCAATCAAAGACAGAACGGCGTTTCAGATAAGTCAGTAAACATACACTGCGGGAGCCTCATTATTCCTTCCCACAGTCAAGAACAGTAACGAGATCAATTGAAAGCAGTCGTCGAGTACGTAGTCGACTAGAATCGATCAAAGATCTCAATCGTTAGCCCATCTTTCGCCAGACCGAATATATCACGCGCAAGGCCCACTCAGATGCTAACGTCGGTTGTGTGTCAGCCGGCGGTCCTGTTCCTTCCGCACAGCATTGAGCTTTTCCACCTCGGAGATCACTTCTTCGTATAGCGGGAGCACATCG